AATCTTAAGATTTAATCATTAATCTACTTACGTCTCTACAGTATCCTTCACGAAAGAATTTACAAATCTGACGTTCGCCCCAGCGCCCTCGAAAACCTCTTCCGCGATAGCAACCTCGCACTGGAGGGGAATGTCTTGGTCGTTTGGGACCACCATATGTTGGACTTATGGAGCGTCGACGGCTGCAAAAAGAAACAATCTGCTCAAAAAGAGAAATCCAAATTTATGTATTCCAAAATTTGAAACATCATGTCTTCAACTAAAGTGCAACTACCGGAAATATTCGAAATTATGATGAATATTTGTTGATTACTTATTATACCCTTGTATCATTTCTTAACTTCTTGAACTGAGTGCTAACCGTCTTTCTATTTTGGGTGATCCACCTCTGTAGTCGCTATCACCAAATTCGTTCACATCACCAGGTCCTCTGTGTCCATCTTCATCTCGTATCCAACGGTAATCCTTGAAATATTATCTCAGAAGTCAGGAAGCGTGTACAGCAGAAACTATGCCTAAGTTGGTATTTCTACGAAAACCTGAAGGAAACGATGCCCGAAACAAAACTGAGAACGACAACATAACAGATGATATGGAAGTTGCTTTTTCCTGGTTGGCCTTCATAAAATAAAACTGTGCACGTCATGAATTTTGACTTAGCATCATTAACAAATAAAAAGTGTTAGAGCGAAACGCCATTTAAAGAAACAAAATCCCTCCCATGAAGACTATGCCACAAGGTGTATAAATTTACATAATTATACCTTATCAGTTGAATCCCCTCCTCGATTCCTATAATCCTTGTCCCCTGTTCCATCATTTGGTGAGTTACTGCCGTACCCATAATATTCTTCATTTGCGTCAACAGTTGGAGAGGCGATTGTTGCAATTCCTGGCTTTGCACGCTGTTTTACGCCAGTCATCCAGGTATTGAGCATACTACCTTCAGCACCTCTCGCGTTCTAAATTTTGCTATCTATCAGACTGTAAGCAATAGTACTACCTCAAATTTAAAGAGTCCTACATCGCAAACTCCTAGCTTAAAACATCTTCGCGACAAATGCTTCGTGGCTGAACGAGTATTCCGAAACTCAAATACATAAAATTATGAATTTATTATTTTAGGAATCACAGGTTTGAAAAATGACTTCCAAACTGGTGTCCACTTCTCCCCCTACTTAATTTTATAACATACCCGAAATTGCCCCAAAAGGATACACGAGCGAGCCAAGGGCGCCTTAGTCACCAACCAAGTCTCAGACATTGATTGGAGAAACGAAACTACTTATTCCAGATTGAGCAGATAGGATAGGGACGACTCCATATATTGCACATTGTCAAGAAAAGTTCCTAATCAAGTTGGAAGCGAGACTTTAAGGATGTAAATTTGAACAGTATTATTCAAGTGATGCCATTGATGAGGAAATGTCTTCATAAAAACCCTAGCAAGTGTTATTTTGCGCGCAGTTTTGGGAGTCCGCAAGGATCGCTGCATCTAACTTTAAAATACACTGTAATGTATTTGTTGCATTTGTTGCATTTGCATGCATTCTCCTCTCCACCATCTGCTTGTTTTTCAGAATTTCCAGTCATCATCATTTTTCCTTCTTTTTCACCAATTATTTTATTACTGTTCGTTCATATATCTGTTTTTGCATGTTGATTTTTTTTATGCGTACCGCCACTTCTTTGTCGAAATCACGCGGTTTACGTACAGATTGCTGATTTAACGATACATTCGGAGATACAGCTTGCGCTGCTTCTCGATTTTCCGTTGTTTCACGATCACGTCCTGAACAAAGTTTACATAAATATCATCTCAAAACTGCTCTGGATAAAAGTACGGCTGAGCAGATGATAACTCACAAACATAATAAGCAGAATATCATAACATCCATAACGAAATTGAGACATCCTAACTTTTGAGAGACATCAGCAAGAACAACCTTCAGCATCGTCGTCGTCACAGATTTCACCTTCTTCTGGTAGCTCACCATCTTCTACTTCCACCTCTGCAATCTTTTTGCTTTCCAATTCAACGTCTTTCCTTACTGCTCCCGAAAATTCGTATTCTTCCAATGAGCCTGCCATAGCAACATCGACCATTGTTAACGCATCACTTTTTTCTATCAAACAATGAATCATCATATCCATACGACAAATTTGCCATTCAAAAACGCTGAGAAAACGAGCTGGACGTTTCAAGTTGTTGGGCAAGATCGTGTTTATTTAAAACTGTATGAAGGTTGAATTCCAATTTGCTGAAATAATTTATGCCAAATGACAAAAAATTTATGCCGCCTTCAAAGTTATTTAATAAATGTAATCATGAATCCTCTTATTTACGATCCACAATAGTGGTTATTCACGTTAGAATGCCTTAGCATTTCCAAAGTATTCTCCCTCACATGTAATGATGATTGACTCCGTAACTGTGGAGTCGAAACTCAAAGTAATGATGAACAACTGATATGAAACAAAGACGTGTGGAATTAGTTTTCAAGACTGAAAATTAAGTAGCTATCACAAAGCTAGAAGTACACAGCACAAAATGAAATTCATTTCCCCGGTAAATACGAGGTTGATGACTGACCACAAAAACTGTAGACGGTTGCTTTGTACAATTAACTGAGCACCTCTCATCGGATTATATTATTCATACACAATCAGAGAAGTGTATATCTTTCGGTTGTTACACTTCATTCTCATTTGCTGGGGAAGCAGTTTGGAAACGAAACATCACGTGTTTTATCGCAGGTTGATTAAACTAAGTACACGGCTGTTTCTACTTTTTCTGAAATTGCCAATTTCTTCCCCTAACTATATAACCTTGAATTCCGACAGAAAAGGGTGAAGTCAAAGTAGTGAATAAAGCATATGCAGCCAACGTTTAAATTAAAAAGTTCACACAAAAATAATTTGTCAGGTCCTTGACGATAACAGCACCCTATCACTTTCTTACAACTCTCCTTAATCCATTGGGTCTTTCAGAATGACAACCGGTCTTCCGCAACAAAGGTAGGTATGACTCATCGGTAATTTACACTTCCTGTATCGCAAAAAAAGGATTTGGAGGTAGTTTCTTTTTTTCTTTTTAAATTCGCATGAACCGAAATCAGCATTTTTTACACAACAATACAGAAAAACGGTTATTTAATCAGAGCGATGAAACAAGTATTCTGAAAAGCAGGACTATTTTTGCGGAAGTTTTTTTGGAATGACGAATAAGAGGAACACTTCTGATGGAATATCGTGCCAGCTAATTCAGTGATAAGAAGTGCTGAGTACGAAAGGGAATGATGTTGTTATGTCTAGGAGTATTTGGACGGCCGCAGACTCGCTGCATACGTGGGTGGAACCCCGCCTGGTATAAGTGAAATAGAACTGAAGAACTCAAACCAGCACAGAAGCAAGAAACCCGAGATTACCAAACTTTTGACATCTCTTTCACAGGAATTAAGGCAAAAAAAGGGTAATCCGATGGATAGAGCATCAAACTGCGGAATGTTTTACGCACCAACACTCATTCGTGAAATGTAAGTCTTCTGTGAAATTATGGTTATTTTTCTATTTCCCATTTCTGGTTGGCTACGGCTGCGCTTAATCCTGAACTGTCAACAGATGATATTAATTGACTGTCAGTGGCATTGAGATATTTTCACTTTCCCTGTTGTTCTAAAATCAATATCACTCGCTCTAATTTACTAATCATTGGACGAACTAATGTCTTTCAATCAGTTCATGCAAATATTACGACTCCAACTTTCTTTACAAAAATGTCATGCCAGTTTTGACAACGTATGATGCCCCCTCATGATTCTTAAATGACCAAATCAAAAATGACGGGCTACCACCAGACACAGAATGAGATTCCAGAAATAAAAACCTCAAGCTCATAAAAAGCATGCTTCTACATAAATACTACGCTTCACTAATACTTTCGGGACAAAAAAGAGTTTTCACGGCATTTGTCCGGTGCTATGAACTGCCCCATCCGCAGTGACAACGTTCCCTTTCTTACAGCATGAGGAAGAGCATTTACCAACGAGAAAATTTTAATTGACTAATGTATTCTTTCCACTAAACACCATTTGAACGAACCCATTTATACGTTTTTTGACCCTGATCTAAATCCTCTCTTCTCCTTTTTTGCACTTAAATGTTGTCAGCACATTCCCTTCCAAAATAAAGTTTGGTGGAAATGTTCGTGGTGACCGCTTTCACAGTTTAAATGAAAGTGAACAGAGACGTTTAAATTTCGCTTTACAAGCTACCTTCGGTATTTAGAAAACCATGGACCGGGTAACCATGGACTTCGCTGGGTTTTTTCGGGAAGAAATTGTGGTCAGAAGTGCTCTGTGAAATCTTTTGAGAACTTTCCGATCTGCATTCGCACTACTGCAGTACATGAATTCAAAGCGATGGCCAGGCCACATTCAAAATTACTGTTTAAATTATAGGTATAAAAGGGTGCAAGAAAAGACGGCAGCCCTAAAACTTGGAGGGATGAGGCCAACTGGAAGCACTGAAATCCCAAAAAAGGAGTCAAGAGAAGAAATACGACGCAGCATGATGGGAAAGTGAACCGATAGTGCCTCTGATCAGCTATCCTCCTTCTGAGATAGCAGGAGTGATTGAAAGATGTATCATCAGTAGTGTGCTCCTCAACATGTGATATTCAAGGATGTATTCAGAAGCAGCCCTTCCTGCACTGACCATGTCGTATCTTTACACTCATCTTTGGGAAATGGTTTGGTGAAGAGCAGAAAAGACTCAAAAGGAAAACCAAATTTCTCATCATTGCAACGCTGCCACCCACAACACAGCTCCGTCTCAAACTTACATGCAAGACCTGGTAGTTCGCGACAGAGGCCGCGCCCACAACTTCAAGCCCCACCCCTCCGCTCACAATACGCATCTTCCAGCTGCACAGCTGCTGTGATGCTCTTGCATACGAGTAATAGTAAAGCAAGGCTTACTGCAAACTTTTTGCACTTCAGCAATTTTGCTTCTTCCCTAGGGATGTTGAGGAAGCATTAGTATTTCGTTCAACCTGCCAAAGCTACAAAAATGCACAGAGCAAAACTGTCAAATGAAAAGCAACAAAATCAACCTGCAGACGACACTTTTAAATATGAACAACCCCAATTCAAATTCCCTGCACAGTTATGAAGTCTTGATACTTGCAAAGCAATCTTCTTGTCTGCAAGCAAACATAAATACTGCAGTTGTAAACACAGGCGGTTAGTGAGGGAAAAGAGGGGAGATGATTCGGTTTTTGCGTCATCCAACTCGTACTACTTGCCGAGAAGGGACTATTATTAGTACTACACGTAGAAATCAACGCATAACTTTTGCATCAACTTTAGCTCCAACGTACACACATCCAGGTTGCGGTCTTTACAACATCGTATCGCCAATACAGCAATGACACACTGGCCTCCGACACAACAATCTGCCATCCCTCCCTCTCTCCCTCCCCGTCTGTTATACAATCTATTAGAACTACCTTGCCCTCTGCATCCTTCCGATCTCCATTTCCTCTCTCCCGCTATCTACTGCTAGAGTGCTCTCATCTCTCATCTATAAATGCTATCTCCTATCACTTCACAGAATTAATCGATTTCCCCTCACTCATGCTCCTCCTTCCCGCTCCACATTCTCACACAACGACAAGCATCCCTTCAACTGTCTAATAAACTAACCCACTCTGTCTACCACACTCATCTTTCATCACCGCTGATATCATCTCTGTGCATATGTGCATGCATGTTTAGGCGTGTGTGCGTGTGTGTACTTGAGGTGACAACGGAGAAGGGATTGCCACGGTAAAAGGGAGATAGAGTGTCGTAAATAGTACGGACGGGTAAGGCATGGTGGTCATTTGACGAGGAATGACCGCTGGAACACGACATTGTCTTCCCCCCCCCCTCTTTCTTTTCCCCGCTTCTCATTAGCATTTGGTAAGCGATAACTGTCAACTCTCGAATACGTAATAGTGATTCCTTTACTTCCGTGCTAAAGATTCCGGGATAGTTTGTGTCACTTATGGAATTTCCATCACGGAAGATCAAATCAAAAATTGCAAATTCACTTTCATAACTTCACAGATGCCATAGGGTCATTGCTGCAGGCCTCTAACAGAATTCGGCTTGCCTGCCTTTGAGATACTAATCCATGTAAGGACATTGGTTTGCCTCGCCCTGCCTATCACTGAACCATTTGGCACAGTTCTCCCGGTGGATGTGCTTTGCTTGCCCGTAGAGGTTAAAGCAAGCATCTAATATCTCTTCAGATTTCTGAAACTTTGTCTCTGTCCCAGTCAAATCATTACTTTTTAAGTGCAGTATAAAAAAAGATTGGCCTCGGTGCATTTCTTTACATAAAAAACTGGGATGTAAGAAGGCTTTTCATTTCCCGTCTTCCTTTTAACTCTTTTTCGCCTCTACTTTACTATCCCTAACTTTCGCTTCTTGGAAAATGTTTCCAAAAGATAACTTCTCATGATCTGATAAAATAAATTGACAAGCCTGACCAAACGTACCGTCACTAAAGACGAATACGTTTCTCGGTAGGCCAGGGGTGGAGATGGGGCTTGCATAACCAGCCTATGGTTCAGAGGGTTCCGGAACCATCATAAAAGAATGATATCGATCTGCTCCGGGCAGCTGTTGAAAAGTTATTTAGTCAGTGCCAGTTCTTACGAAAATCTGTTCAAAAAAGAAATCATTGTTCAAGGCTGATGGCGCAGTTACTTCCACACAATTTACAATAGCGGCGTGGTGAACTGGTGAGCATAAAAGTTATTCTAGTAAACCTCTTCTGCGATGCGACTCGCACACATACGCACGCACGCGACTCACACAAGACACACGACCACACATACACACAAACACTTGCAGTGGAAAAACTGTGGTGTACGACTGGCAAACTTTCTGTATACCTGCACCCCGTCTTGCCTATCGTCGTACCAACACAGAACACAATTGCTTTTGCAACACGCGTGTGACACATTTCAATTGCATCTGTAGCACTGGTAAGAAGTCCTTACCCCTCCTCTAAATTCCGCACTCTCCTCTTACCTGCCTATTTTCCCCTCCTACGCACACGGTGCCTCTTTTTAGAAACACCTACAAGTAAAATAGCACTAACATCAGCGAGTCATAGGAAGCATAATTCAGTACAACTACAGATTCAAAGTTGCTTGTGGATCCCAGAAGTGGACTACATTCAGAGTCTTGCAGTGGTTAAATGCCTCATCTCTTTCTCTCTTACATAAAGATGTAACCATTTAATTACTGGAGTTGATGTGTACAGAGAGTGAATATAGGGTTGCAAACTAATGTCCCTTTTTACCAAACTCAGTCAAATTTTACACAATGATAGTGCGATTTGATAGCTAATAGAGGCTCCCATATATCTACGGTACATTTCGAATCCAAGTGTGCGGAAGCATGTCAAGACGACAAAGCACCCAAGACAAAAGGAAGAGATCGCATCAGGGTGCGAAAAGTGGCACCAAAACAAAGTCTCACACAAAGCAAATATAGTGGGCGGACAATCAATTTATACTTAACGTGTTGCTTTCACGTAATATTTTCTAAAATTATTTCATGATAATTCAGAAAAGTGGAATGAGTTAGATGACCATTAAATGTGGTCTGCTCGTCACCT